CCTTTAACTTACGTTTTTTCGTTTTATTCTCCTCCTCCTACTCTCGTATACGTCTCCGTACTACCTAACCTTAACTTTATTATATTCTTCTCTCTCTCTCTCTCTCTCTCTCTCTCTCTCTCTCTCTATTACAGGTTCACCCCAACTTCTAAAACCCCCACTTTCTGGTTTTGGTCTCCCTCTCTCTCCTCCGCCCCCTCCTCGTCCTCTCTCTCTCTCCCTCTCCCTCTTATGGTTGTGCATTGTTGATTAGAATTTTATTTTTTTTTTGACATTTTTCCCTAATTATGAGTTTCTCTTTTTAGAGCTCTTTTATGACCCTGAATTGTTTATTCCTCCTTTTTTGGTGATGGGTTTTGTTAGGATATGACTTTTCAATTCATGAACGCCATTAAGGTGAACCAAACACCATTAAAGATCAACTATACCCATAAGGTCAAGAAGAACTCCACCTTATTCAGTGCTTCTCTCGCTTTTGATCCCGATAATACGCTCTCTGGGAGTTACAATTTCGGGAACATGAACACGAAAGTGAGGTACAAGTACAATCATGGAGGAGGTGCTCGTGGTTTCGAGTTAGGATATGATTTTGATGAGGGGTTTGATTTCGCTTTGTCTCATAAGGTCTTTAGTACCGATACTTTGAAAGCTTCATATGGGGCCTCAAAACAAATTTTCCAGTTGGATTATGCTCGAGCTGCTAAGGATACTGGTTCTTTCAAGGTAAGCAATTTGACATATTTCTCATCCTAAATTTTTTTTTTTTTAATGTGTCTTTGTTCTGAAAATTGCATAGATTTTTTAATTCTTTTGCATTTATTTGTGTTTTTGTGATATTCATTTAATTTAATCTTTATATATGTATTCAATGTGTTTGTGACTATACATGGCTATGTAAAAAATCCATGGAGTGATTTGTGGAATATAGGAAATGAGCCATGTATTCCTTATCAAAGGAAAAGGAAATGAGCAATGTATGTCGGTCAGTAGTTGTAAAGGAAGGTAGTCATCATGCGATTAGGATTGGCTGTTTTCGATACTCGTATTTGGAACTTTGTGATAATGTAATAAGGTTATTCTTAGAGAATAATGAGTATTGAGGTATAAAAAGCGGAAACTCTTAGATTTTTCTGGGACTCCAGCCTCTGTCCTTAATGGATAAGTAGGTAACCACACTGAATTATGAGATGGTTTCAATTCATCAGAAAGAAAGAGAACTAACCCATTTGTAAAGAGTGATATAGAATCCAATTTAGGAACATATAGATTATTTTATGTTGCAGTATGTTACGAGCCATCTCCTTCCAATCACAGATGACATTTGGTTGGTTTTTTAAATGGTGGTCGATGTTTTCATAGTTTGGGCTTTATCATTTTTTGTGTCTGTTTTTAACTGTCTCTAATATCTGTTGGTTCCCCCCCCCTCCTTTTTTTTCTTTCTTTTGGACAATCAAGGTGGTTTTCTTTTCGTGAAGGAATTTTTTTTCGCCTGAAATGTGGAAGAAGAATTTATTTGACTGTTCCGTGATGGTAAATTCTTTTTGCCCATTTCGATCGTGGTTGAGCTTATTCTTCTTGATAAAATCGAGTTGCAGTAAGTCAGTCAGCCTGTTGCATTGAAGATTTATGGATCTTTATTGCCTAAAAGGGGATACCATGTGAAAATATATTCATGAATGCATGAGTTGAGAGGGCTAATTATATAAGGTGGTGGGAGTTCTCATTTAAGGCTAGTGTACAGTGCTGGGTGGTCTGATTTCTCCTGTAAGATCCCTGACTTTTCAAGGTAGTTTCCATCATGGTACTTGCTAATATCTTTTATACTTCCTTAGAGGATAGTGCCATTCTGTGGTGTGTGAGATGGTGTGGAGGTGGTGTGAGCACTAACTAGACCAAGTTGTTTCATATGCAAGGAAATAGGTTGTTATTAGCCACTGCTTTCGGGCATGCTAGGAGCATGGTTAAAGGTACTGTCTGTACTTGCCTAATGATGAGATACATGCCTATGTGAACCTTTTTTCCAGGGGTTCTACTTGATAGCATAGTGGTTTCGACCAGTTTTTGAAAACTTGCCTGGGTTGACTTGCAAGAGATTTGATAGTTTTTTAATACCAAAAAGTTCCTCCAAGTTTTTTACCCATTTTTAAATTTCAATTTCTTCGCAATTGGTGGTCGAAATTTGATGAAATTTTATTCTTGAGTTTATTTTTGTGTTATTGATCGAACCATAGACTCGATTTTAACTGAAAGAATTTTGTATATACTTTATTTTTTCATTTATTCTATTTTTCTATTTGTTATTCATTTATCAGATTTTCTATATTTTCAAGCCAATAGCAACAATTTTTTGTCTTATTCCATGTTCTGTATTTGTTTGGATAATTTTTATATTTTTCTTATTTTTTGTATTGTTCACAATTTTTTTTTTTTGCGATTTTACATTTTGTCGGTCCTTTTTTCCTGGCTTGGGCAAAACTTAGGAAAGTAGACTCAGACTCACACAAGCTAATCGGTTCTGCAAAGGGTTGAGTCCCAACCAGTCTGTTATGTCCATTGCTGATGGATTTGTGCTTTTCTATTGGGAATTTTAAGAACTTATTTGCTCACAATTGTCTCTATGCTAAAGCTCTTTTAGGTTTATATGAAGCCAAAAGATATTCTACTCCCTTGGGAGTATACTATCCATTTATTTTGAGAATAATCATCTAGTGATTCTAAGCCGGTTACCAAAATTCAGATTGAAAAAATCCTCCCAAGTAGGTCCTTTGAGCGAGGGAGTAGTTTACGTGCTATAAATAAGTGTGACTGAGATGAGAATGTCGAGATGGATGAGTGGCAAGACAATAAAGGATAGAATATAGAATGCATACATCTAAGGGAACTTTAGAGGTAGCTCCCAGAGGCGATGAGATGAGGGAAAGTAGATTTAGGTGGTTTGCAATTCCGACACAGAACAACACCGGTTAGGGTGTAAAAAGGCAAGGGGAAGGCCCAAAAGGACATGGATGGAAGTAGGGAGAAGAGATATGGGCACTTATGGTTTGACAGAGGGTATGGCCTTAGCAACCAATTTTTCCCAACCAAGTATCTCTCTTCTCTCTCTCTCTCTGTCTCCCCCTACCCCCTCCGGGTCCCTCCTCTCTCTCTCTCATCTCCCCCTCCCTCCCTCCCTCCCTCCTTCCTAAAAACAAACTCCCCGTTGTTTCAACAGTTCACTCTGGAAATTTCAAAACTGGGTTCATGGTGCTGTCCCCAGTTGTAGTAATAGTTCTAGAGTGAGAAAATCCATGGCCATGACACGATCACAGAGAGATGAGCTCTCTATCAATAGTTCTCAGAACTGTGAAACCCACTGTTCTTTCTCTAAACAAAGCCATTACAGAGCTCACATGCACAGGCCGGATCACGAGGGCTCGCCTGCTCTTTAATGGCGTTACATTCCAGACCACAATGACCTCGAACTCGATGCTCGTGGTTTATGTTCAAGCCATGGAGTTATTGGAGGCTCGGAAATTGTTTCATAAAAGGCCTCATAGAGATTAGTCTCTTTGAACCCAGTGATCTATGGTTTTGCCAAGGTGAGCTTAGAAAAGTCAGAAAAGTTTTGAAGCTTTACCAGAGAGCGATGCAGTCTCATATAACACTCTTATCAGCGGTGATGGGAGAATTGGGTATTATGTTTATCGGAGGCTCAAGCTCTCTTTGACTTGATGCCTTACAGGACTGTGGCTTCTTGGAATGCCATGATCGCATGTTATTTGAAGAATGGGGAGTTAGGTTATGGGAGAATTGGGTTTTTCAGAGGCTGTCTCTCTCTCTCTCTC